TCGCTACCACCATCGTCATTCTCATCACCGTTGCGGCACACTTCGTGGCCCCATTGGGAGTTCTACCGAAGGCACCAGTGGTTTGGTTCACATGGTGACCCGCCCGATGTCGGCCCACCCCTCACACGTGTCGTGGCCCCACAGGGAGCTCCACCGAAGGCGCCAGCGGTTGGGTTCACATGGTGACCCGCCCCATTTTGGCACACTCCTCACACGCGTCACGGCCCCACAGGAAGCTGCACCAAAGACGCCAGTGGTTGGGTTCACATGGTCACCCGCCCCATTTCGGCACACCCCTCACACGGCCCGTGGCCCCACATGGAGCTCCACCGAAGGCACCCGCGTGGTTGGGTTCACATGGTGACCAGCCCCATTCCCGCACATGTTTCACACGTTTCGTCGCCCCAAAATGAGCTCCACCGAAGGCAGCCGTGGTTGGGTTCATATGGTGGCCACCCTTATTCTGGCAGACCCCTCACACGCTTCGTGGTCGCACAGGGAGCTCCACCGAAGGCACCCGGGGCTGGGTTCACACGGTGATCCCCCCCATTTCGACGCACCCCTCACTCGTTTCGTGGCCGCAGGGAGTTCCACCGAAGGCGTCCGTGGCTGGGTCAACATCGTAACCCGCCCCCTTCTCGGCAGACTCATCAGACGTTCCGTGGCCCCACAGGGAGCTCCCCGAAAGCATCCGTGGCTGGGTCAACATTGTGCCCCGCCCCATGTCGGCTCACCCCTCACACGTGTCGTGGCCGCACAGGGAGTTCCACCGAAGGTGCCATTGGTTGGGTTCACATGGTCATCCGCTTCACTTCGGCAGCTCACACGTTTCGTGGCCCCAGATGGAGATCCAGCGAGGTCCCCAGTGGCTGCGATCGCATGCGGCCCTGCCCCATTTCGGCACACCCTCACACGTTTCGTGGCCCCACGGGGAGCTCTACCGAAGGCCCCATTGGTTGTGTCCGCATGGTGTCGCCTCGCCCATTTCGCTTCGCCTCGCTCGGTTGAGTGTGGCCTTGCGGTCTTTGTCGAAGCGTTCGGGGGGACTGCAAATCCGTATGTCTGTTCATTCGCATGGAGCGGTCCTGCACATATGCGCCGCGCGTTAATTTTGGGTTGGATTCTTCGCCAGGATGATTTGTCCTACACCGTTTTCGGGGTGGCACGTGTCACCCCTGTGTTTTTCTCCCACCGTGTGAACCCACGTCGACGCTCACGATACAAAACGTTTTGGTTGTGATCACACGCACAGCTTTCTGGGTGGCGCGTGCCATCTACGTGTGTTTTATCTCGCCGTGTATGACCCCGTATTGACGCTCTGGACGCACGAGTGACCTCATAGGATATCATACGCTCGAGTCCCATAACTATCTTGTTCAGGGTTACACGAATCACCCTGGCCCTTTCTTACAATGTAAGACCCCATGTTGACCCGCAGAGAACAAGTGAAGCGCATGGTGTGTCTCACACAGCTTTTGAGTTTACGGGTGTCACATCTGTTATTGCTTTACAATGTACGACCCGATGTTGACGTTCAGAATGCAAGAGACTGAATTGGTTGTGTCAGAGCTTTGGAGGCGCGTCGCTCGTACGCTTCTGTACAAAGTATGGCCCCGCGTTGATGTTCATACTACAAGTGAATTGTAAGGTGTGTTTGCATTTTCTCCCGGGTGACACGAGCAAGCGTGTCGCGACCAAATCGGAGGAGGAGCCAGGTTCTCTTTTCTCGCTTTGGTCGCAACCGGCTAGCTCGTGGTAATCTGTCTTGGGTCCACCAGTGGCTGTTGCACCATTAGTGGGTCCACCGCGAGCTGAGCCCATCTGTCTGGACCACGCCCCTCGCCGTCGCACAAGCCGACCAGTTTTGCAGTGAGAGTGTGTATCCAGATCGTCCCCAATATTCGCTATCGCACCGCTGGCACCTGTGCAGTTCTGATGAACTGCCTGTGTGGCTGGGCGCCGCCAGTCGCTGTCGCATCGCTGGCCAACCGTACATTTCTGATCATTGTTGTGTGGTCTGTCTGTCTGTCCTGGCCCCGCCCCATCGCCGTCGCACTTGAAATCTGGCACTGGACATAATTACATTGAGCTGTCTTTGGCCAGTCGCTGCTGCCGCACAAATTGTTCCCTACCTAGGCTCTGCCTAGAAGGGTTCTTACTCTCTAGCTTAAAGGGGCCGGGCAGTGCTACACGCCCCGGGCGGTTCCCCCAGTCCCCGCCCCGCGGTTCCCCCAGTCCCCTGGGAGCTTTAACCTTAGCTTTAGCTTTAGCTTACCTTTAGCTTTAGCTTTAGCTTAGCTTTAGCTTAGCTTTAGCAAAGTGTTAGCTTAGCTTTAGCTTAGCTTTAGCTTAGCGTCAGCTTAGTGTTAGCTTAGCTTTAGCTTAGCTTCAGCTTAGCTTTAGCTTAGCTTCAGCTTAGCTTTAGCTTGGCCTTAGCTTAGCTTTAGCTTAGCTTTAGCTTAGCTTCAGCTTAGTGTTAGCTTAGCTTTAGCTTAGCTTTAGCTTATCTTTAGCTTTAGCTTTAACTTAGCTTTAGCTTAGCTTTAGCTTAGCTTTAGCTCAGCTTTAGCGTAGCTTCAGCTTAGCTTTAGCTTATATTTAGCTTAGTGTTAGCTTGGCCTTGGCTTAGCTTTAGCTTAGCTTTAGCTTAGCTTTAGCTTAGCTTTAGCTTAGCTTTAGCTTAGCCTCAGCTTAGCTTCAGCTTAGTGTTAGCTTAGCTTTAGCTTAGCTTTAGCTTAGCTTCAGCTTAGTGTTGGCTTAACTTTAGCTTAGTGTTAGCTTAGCTTTAGCTTAGCTTTAGTTTAGCTTTAGCTTAGCTTTAGCTTAGCTTCAGCTTAGCTTTAGCTTAGCTTTAGCTTAGCTTTAGCTTAGCTTTAGTTAGTTTTAGCTTAGCTTTAGCTTAGCTTCAGCTTAGCTTCAGCTTAGCTTCAGCTTAGTTTCAGCTTAGCTTCAGCTTAGCTTTAGCTTAGCTTTAGCTCAGCCTTAGCTTAGCTTTAGCTTAGCGTTCGCTTAGCTTCTGCTTAGCTTCAGCTTAGCTTTAGCTTAGCTTTAGCTTAGCTTCAGCTTAGCTTTAGCTTAGCTTTAGCTTATGTTTAGCTTTAGCTTAGCTTTAGCTTAGCTTTAGCTTAGCTTTAATTTAGCTTTAGCTTAGCTTCAGCTTAGCTTTAGCTTAATGTTAACTTAGTGTTAACTTAGCCTTAGCTTAGCTTTAGCTTAGCGTTAGCTTAGCTTCAGCTTAGCTTTAGCTTAGCTTTAGCTTAGCTTTACTGTTACTACTAATGCTGCTTTCCTAGGGGCTCCAACTCCTAGGTAGGGTCGCACTGGGATAATTTGTGATTACTTTCTTTTTGTCCTGTTCGATGACATATCGTTCCCAACCTTCATGTGCTGTTGGGTCTTCATTTTGAATCCACAGCGCCCTGCGAAACTCCTTCCTCCTTTCTCCTCCCGCTTCCCCTCTTCCCATGCCTGTCTCTGTCCTTCGCATGTCCTCATCGCCATCATAATTATCGTCGTCAATATTGTCGTCATCATCAGGTTTCGGCCAGTCCCTCACACGTTTCATGGGCCCGTAGGGAGCTCCACTGAAGGCTTCAGTGGGAGGGCCCGCATGCCACCGCCGCATCCAGTTCGGCACACCTCTCTCACACACACGTTTCGTGGCCCCGTAGCGGGTTCCACCGAAGACCCCAGTGGGAGGGCCCGCAAGCCACCGCCGCACCCATATCGGCACGCTTCTCACACGTTTCGTGGCCCCAAAGGGAGCTCCACCGAATTCCCAAGTGGGAGAGCCCGCATGCCACCGCCGCATCAATTTCGGCACGCTTCTCATACGCTTCGTGGCCCCAAGGGGAACTCCACCGAAGGAGAGGGCCTGCATGCCACCGCTGCAATCATTTTGGCACGTTTCTCACATTACGTGGCCCCGAAGCGAGCTCCACCGAATGCCCCAGTGGGAAAGCCTGCTGCCCACCGCCGCTCCCATTTCGGCACACTCCATATGTTTCGTGAGCCACAGGGATTTCCACCGAAGGCCCGAGTGGGAGGGTCCGAATGCCACTGCCGCCCCCATTTCGGCACGCCCCTCCCACGGGTCGCGGCCTCTCAGCGAGACCCACCGAAAGCTCCAGTGGGAGGGGCCGCATGCCACCGCCGCACGAATTTCGGCACGCTTCCCACACGATTCGTGACTCCAACAGGAGCTCCACCGAAGGCCCCACTGGGAGGACCCGCGTGCCACCGCCGCGCCCACGCCAGCACGCGCTTGCGTGGCCCACAGGGAGCTGCACCGAAGGCTCCAGCGGCGGTGACCGCATGAGCTCCCGCCCCTCATTCGGCGCACCCTCACACGTTTCGCAGGTCCACAGGGGGCTCCACCGAAGACTCCAGTGGCGGTGACCGCACGAGCTCCCGTTTCTAATAATTTCGGAAAGGGCTCGTTCTGTGGTCGCTTGGATGGGGGGGGGGGAACTGGACCCTCCCCCCTCCCGTGACAGAGGGGGGGGTCCAGAACCCCCCCCCCGCCCCCCTCCCCGTGCGTGGGGGGTGTCTGCCAACCTGTTCCGACCGAACCGGAGAAAGAGGTTCCCACAGCTTGCGTCGATCTCTGCTGTGTTGCGCGGTGCGTGATGCATGGCACGGTATAGTTTCAGGCGTGGCAACACCTCCCCGCGCCAGATTTGTGTCTGCATTGTTTGGCTTAAGGCTCGACGTCTGAGCGAGGAACATGACCGAACGACGGAGCAGCGAAGCGCGGCAACGCCGTCTGCTCTGCCGTCTCTCTATCTCTCTTAACACCCTCCTCAGGCTTAGGCTACATCTCCCTATTGACAACTCTCTTCTCCATACTCTTCCCATTGCTCCGTCCAGAGCCCTGGAAATCCTTCGTCAGATCGTGCTGGGCGTGAGCATCGAAGAATTGGCAGAAGAGGAAGAATGAGCAACGAGAGGATGTATTCTGCGCACCCGTTCGTGGACCAGCACCCGCTGATGTCCACAAGGGTTATGAGCCCAAGCGCACCTTCAGCATCCTTCCCCGCATCCTCTTCGACTACCACCTGGACGCCTCCATCGGCATGTGCTGCAGGATTGGGCACGTGGATCATCCGAACGTGCCAGGCGTGCGCCGACGTGATGACAAGGCCCTCTGTCACGTGCTCGGCGTGCCACGCGCCCGTGCACAGCCACTGCGTGGTGAGGCGAATGAGCTGCATGGTGTGCACGAGCTGCGCCAGCGAGATGGACTTCGCCTTCGCGAACCACCAGGCGCAGCGGAGGATGGCGGTGAGTTCCGCGGGCTTCGGGTGTTTCATGAGCGCCAGCGGCCAGTACGCGGGGCAGGCCATTGGCGCGGTGGCCACCGGGGCCGTGGGAGGAGCGGCCAGGCTGATGACAGGCTGCGCCTCGGGGGCCGTGTCAGCGATCCGGGGCATGCGCGCGGTGGAGCTGCCGAGCGCACCTGCGACGCAGCGCCCGCGCGCCCTCGAGCAGTTCGACATCTCGGACGAGGGCTCGGGCAGCGGCGTGCCGACCGAGATGGCAGACGTGATGGCCGAGTTTAGCCGGATGCGCGCGGAGATGGAGGCTCTGAGGGAGGAGAACGCCAGGCTCCGAGGAGGGAGCGCAGCGTCAGCCCGAGGCGGGTACGCGACGCCCTCGTCGCCTGAGCGGCTGGAGGAGGAGATCGCCGAGGCCCAGGACGAGGGTATCGACACCGTCTACGGCGCGGATTGGTCTCAGGCGGGGGGGCTTGCCGTGAGCGGTGCTGGGGACTGCCGCCGAGACTCACGAGGTGAAGGCCGCGTGCGAGGCGGCTGATACGATTGGCAAGCACGTCGAGGAGTTTCCCGTGGGAGCCGCGGCGCCGGCGAGCGCCACGCAGCAGGAGCAGCCGCCAGGACTCGGCGCCGCTGCTCATGCTGGGTTCGCGCCTGCAGGACATCCAGAAGGTGGTCATCCTCAGGGCGGCGGTGTTCCTGGAGGCGCTGGGCTACCTGGAAGAGGCTCCGGGGGTCTTGCAGGAGGTGTCCCACATGGTGGTGGCGGAGTTGGAGTTCATGGAGTTGGTGGAGGCTTTCAGGGAGGATTCCCAGGATCTCAGGGCTTCGGAGGTGTTCCGGGAGGCACTGGAGGTGGACACTTCGGCGGAGGAGGCGGGCCGAGCGGACCAGGTGGACCTGGTGGCGGTGGATTCGGCCCCCCGCCCGGGCAGCCGGGAGATGGTTTCGATGGCGGGCCAGGCGGCCCTGGCAGATTCGGGCCTCAGGGCCCTGGAGGTGGCGGCTTCGGGCCTGGTGGACCAGGCGGCGGAGGCGGCGGACCACCTCCACCGCCGCCGCCTTTCGGCGGTGGGGGAGCGACTGCGGCGACTTCGATGCCCGCAGGCCGCGACAGCACCTTGGAGACGGTGCTGAGCAAGTTGAAGTCGAACGAGCTCCCCTCTATGTCCTGGCCGAAGGGGGGTTCGACGGGGCAGAAGGCAGCTGCCTTTGAGGGGTGGCTGCAGAGGATCAGCCTCGAGCTCGGCGGCCTGCACCACCTCATCCAAGAGAACTGGCAGCGCGTGGTCGCCGTCGTCTCCGAGGCGCACCGCTCGTACCTCGCGCACGGGCCGTTGGACAGGCCTGGGATCAGGCCGTCGCAGCCCGAGGACTGGGTTGCCTCGGAGGCCGAGGCAATCAACTACCGCAGCTGCGAGCTTCGGTTGCGGAGCATCTTGCTGAATCTGATGCCAGATGGCGTCAGGTCGCAGCGCCTCTCCACAAAGATGACGTCGACCTGCGACATCTTGTTTGGGGCCTTTGTCGAGGCAGGGCCCGGCGCGGCCGCTGACAAGGACTACGTGTTGAACGCGGCTTCGAAGGGCAAGGCCGTCGACCAGGCCCACGCCTACGAAGAGCTACAGAGGTGGAAGCTGAATGCGACGCGCCTCGCAACGCTTGGCGCTGCTGCGCCAGACCCGTCGGTCCGGCTGACGACTCTCAAGACGATCGTGGGCCGCATGATCGAGAGCGACCAGGAGGTCAAGCACCGCTACTGCGGGTTCCTCGCGGTGCGGGGCTTGAGTGGCGGCGTCTGCGCGCAGGCGCAGGTCGACGAGTTGCGGAGGCACTTGTCAGCAGAGGCCCGGGAGTTCGCGGGCTCGTCCGGCGGCGGCGGCAGGAGCGAGCAGCAGGAGGCAGCTCGCGTGGCAGCTCTGGCCCCCCAGGGTGGCAAGGACCCGAAGGGGAAGGGCAAAGACAAGGGCAAGGATAAGGACAAAAGTGGCAAGCCGAAGGGCGCCGGCAGGGGGGGCCCGAAAGGCGGTCATCCACCTCTTGGAGGCGGCGCTGGAGATGGCCCTGGCTGGGGCTCCGGAGTGAAGGGCGAGCTCAAGTTGCGCCCGCATTTCGAGGGCGACCGCCGCTGCCGGCACGGCAGCGGAGGAGCTTGCCGAGATCGGCATCGAAAGCTCCAACCGCAGGAGGGCAAGCGTTTCAACTGCGGGCCCCCCCAGCACCGCTCGGACGCGCGTGAGCGCCCGAGGCCTCCGGCGAAGACAGTGGCTGCTCCAGGGGCTGCTGCATCTTTGGCTTCCACGGCGTCGCCGGCCGCTCCAGGGACAGCTCCTTCGAAATCGGATGCGGCATCGATGGAGCAGGTGGCTGCTCAGGCCGCGCGCGCTGAGGTCAGCGCGCAGCTCCTGACGCTCATGGGCATGGGCGCTGGAGTGCCGCAGGCCCCTTCGGGGCAGGCGGCGCCGGTCGACTTCTGGGCCGGCGTCGAGCCGAGCGCGAAAACGATCCGGGTCTCGGCGAAAATCGCCGGGGTCAACGGCGAGCGCATGCTTCTCGCAGACACGGGGGCCACTCATGAGTTGCGCGGGGTGCGCGACCCCTCAGCAATCCGCGGCAGCAACGTGAGGCTCCAGACCGCCAGCGGCGAGGTCGACGCGAAGATGGTGGCGGACGTGGTCTACGTCGAGGGGGAGTCCCTGCAGGGCCTGTTCCCTCTCGCCACTTACATGGAGCAGCCTGGCCTCAGGATGAGCTGGGATGCGGAGCAGTGCGTTGTGATGCTCGCGGGCGGCCGCGAGGTGCACCTCCACCGCGTGAACAGCGCGCTGTACATCTCCGAGGGTGACGCGGAGGTGCTGCGGCAGGAGCGGCGGAGGCGACTTCGCGAGCGGCTTCGTGCGGCGATGGGCGTGCTTGCACGCGCCCTCCGCGGCATGGCTCATGCTGCGCCCGCGCGGCCAAGCTTGTAGGAGCACGAGGAGGCGGGGCACGTTGTCTTCGACCCTGCCTGCAGCAAGCGCAGGGGCGCCTTCGGGCGCATGAGACAGCACTTCAGACACGACGCCTCGACGAGGCCAGGCGGCCAATTGTCGGTGGACCTGTCAGGGCCACATTTGCCTGGCCGCTGGCCCTCAGGGCGGCCAGAGGACCAGGGCAAAAAGGCAATCCACTTCCTCCTCGCCGCCTTCAGCGTCACCACCGACGACGAGCTGGCGCTTAAGAGGAGGCGCGAAGAGGGCGCGCGGGCCAGCTCGGAGGCGGCGCCAGGAGCGCAGGGGGCAAGCGTTGGCGAGGATGCAGATGCAGCTGCTGCCGTAACGCAGGTTCCCCCCCTCCTCATGGAGACTGCGCCGACGGCGCATCCGGCACTCAGGAGGCTGATGGCGCGCGCCGCCGAGGCGTTCGGTGTCAGCGCGCGGCCGGCAGCTGTAGAGGCGCAGGGAGCGCCTGGCGAGGGCAAGACCGTCGGCCCAGATGTTCCTGGAGAGTCCTCCGGGGACATTCTGGCTCCCCCGATCCTGGTTGAGGGCCCCGGCCAGGAGGCCGAAGCTGATGATGGACATGCGGCGGCGCCCAAGAGTCGCACATGGTACTACGTCGTGCCTCTCGAGAGCCGCAGGCCCGACGTGTGCATCGCCGCGTTGAACGCCATCATCGCGTCCATCCGCAGAGAATTTGAGGGGGCCGACGTGGTTTACAGGATCCATGGAGACAGGGCCAGTGAGGTGACTGGTGCGCAGGTCCGGCACTATTTCGCCGAGCGCCACATCGCTGTGACTTCGACTCCTGGCTATGAGCCGAATGCGAACCCACGGGCTGAGAGAGGCGTGGGACTCATAAAGCAGTGTGCTCGCGCCATGCTACTCGCCTTCCCTTCCATGGCCGATCGGCAGGCGCTGTGGCCGAGGGCGGTCACCCATGCGGCGTGGTGCAGCCGAATGGCCGCCGATGGGCGCAGGACAGGCTGTCCTGCTTTCGGCGCCCGCGTCACGTCCAGGGTAAAGGACGTCCCCCGCAGCATGTTCCGGGCGCGGGCGGTGGAGAGCATCTTCCTGGGCATCGACGAGGGCGGTGGCGGTTGGCTCGTGGGCCGGGTGGATCCCGAAGCCACGATGCCGGAGCGGAGGTGGGTTATCTAGGCTTCCAGCTCCTTCGTGCCTGTTCCCCAGCCGATCCGCCAGGCGCCGGCAACCCGGCTAGAGGAGGAGGAGGAGAAGTCAGGAGAAGCAGCGAGGCAGCAGGAGGAGGAGGCAGAGGAGACATCACCACCAGGAGGAGGCCAGCAGGAGGAGGAGGAGGAGGAGGAACAAGAGGACGCAGCACCACCAGGAGGAGGATCAGGAGCACCAGGAGTAGCTGAGGAGAAGGGTGACGACATCTTCGAAGCCGATTTGAAGGATATCACGTGCCCAGCGTGCACCACTAGAGCCCATACGTAGGCCACACACTCGTGACGCCCATTGTCTTCTCGGACCTCTTCTTCGTGGACCTGCTGGTGGGCCTCCTTTCGACGCCGGCGCGGATGCGGGGCCGAAATGGTCGTGCCCGGCGTGCCGTGGACGGCACGTCGCCCACACCAGGGACCATCGTTGTCGACGTGGGCCAGGTGCGGCGGCTTCCCCGGCAGCCGCGAGGACGTCGAGGACGAGAGCAGAAGCATCTGCGACTCGAAGTGCGGGCTTGCAAGTGCAGATGTTGCGGTGCCACGACGACGTGAACGCCCAGGTCGCTCCCATAGGCTCCAGGGGCGGCGACGACGACGACAGCGACGACGAGGATAGCGTGCCGCCCGAGTTCCGCGACATCATCCGCGACTCAGGCACGTCGCCGGTCTCGATCAGGGTGCTCAACGAGGCCTTCGGCTCGGAGAAGGAGGAGTGGAGGCAGGCCCTCGAGAACGAGCTGAACTCGATGACGGAGAACGAAGTTTTCTCCCGGCTGACGCCGGCGGAGGTCCGCCAGGCGAGGCCCAGGGACATCATGCCCATGAAGGTGGTGGCAGGTGTCAAGGCTGCCGAGCCCTCCGATCCGACGGGATACCGGAGGAAGAAATGCCGAGGCGTGGTCTGCGGCATTTTCGAGCAGCACGGGGAGGGAGAGCAGGTGTACACCTCGAACCTCGAGGTTTGCAGCCTCCGCAGCGCCTTGGCGGTAGCATCCGCTATGCGCTGGGACATCGGCGCCATGGATGTTTCGACTGCTTTCCTCAACGCCCACCTCCCCATCGAGCACAAGGAGGTGCTGGTGCGCCCTCCCGCCGTGATGGTGCAGTATGGCCTCGTCCGTCCCGGGGAGGTCTGGAGGGCGGCGAAGGCCATCTACGGCCTGCGCGTCTCGCCCAGGGCGTGGGCTACGAAGCGGGATTCGGATATGAAGGACGTGATCGTCGAGGACGCGCAGGGCCGTCAGCTCCGGCTCAGGCAGAGCACCGCGGACGGGGCAGTGTGGAGTATCCTGGACTCCGCGGGCAGCGTTTGCGGGTACGTCCTCACGTACGTGGACGACTTCCTCATCTTGGGACCTTCGTCGGTTGTTTCGGCGACGAGGTCGGCTTTAGGAGGGCTCTGGAGGACATCATCCCAACCCCAAGTTGGACCTGGGTCGCCAGGAGTTGTGCGCTACCTCTCCATTGACATCGAGGTCAAGATCGACTCCACCATCACGCTCTCGCAGCATTCCTACACGGAGGAGCTGCTGGAGAAGTGGGGGATGGAGAAGGCGAACGGCGCCGGCTCCATCAACTTGGATAAGGAGAGCTTCCACGACTTCGCCGGGGCGGCCAACGTGGACGAGGAGGAGCCAGCGCTGAGCGATGTCAGGCTCGCGCAACGCATGGCCGGAGGGCTCCTCCGGCTGGCCTCGCGGACGTGCCCGGACATCGCCTATGCGGTGTCGCGCGTCGCGGCTCTCGCCACGAGCCATCCTGTCCAGAGCTTGTTGTTCGGCAAGAAAGTCTTGCGCTACCTCGCTGGCACGAGGCGCGTGGGTCTGGAGTACCACGTCCCGGAGGAGTTCGGCATGGACGAGCCACTCCAGCTAGAGACGTACGCCGACGCGAGCTTCGAGGACATTGGCGCACTGACGGGCGTCTCGGTGCACCTCCTCGGCTGCCTGGTCGATTGGCGCAGCGTGCGCCAGCAGGTCGTCCCGTTCAGCACCGCGGAGGCGGAGGTGAATGCATTTGCCGTTGGCGAGAACATGAGCGCTGCGGCTGCGACCACGCTCGAGAGCATGGGGCTCCGAGTGAGGCCGACACTGTACGGAGACAGTGTCGCGGCGAACCACGTGGCAGAGGGACGAGGCTCATGGCGGACACGTGCATTGCCCACGAAGGTGAACGCAATCCGCTCCAGGATGGCACGCGGGCTACTCGAGTTGCACTTCGTCGGCACCGACGATCAGCGTGCGGACGGGCTCACAAAGTGCGGCGGTGTCCAGCATGCCGCGAGGATTCGCCAGCACTTCGGCCTGCGAGCTCTGGCGTAGGAGCGCAGTTTTGTATATGAGTTCTGTCTTGGATTTTTTGTAGGCGTGTACGGGGGCTTGGAGGTGCAAGGGCACCCCCCACGCACCACCGCGCTAGACAGAGCACGGTGTTCGCTGCAGCTGCGGCCCCACCACGGCTTCAGAGGAGGAGCGTGCGTGGGTGGTGTCTGCGAACCTGTTCCGACCGAACCGGAGATAGAGGTCCCCATAGCTTGCGTCGATCTTTGCTGTGTTGCGCGGTGCGTGATGCATGGCGCGGTATAGTTTCAGACGCGCGGGGAGCGTGGCAACACCTCCCCGCGCCAGATTTGTGTCTGCACTGTTTGGCTCAAGGCTCGACGTGTGAGCGAGGAACATGACCGAACGACGGAGCAGCGAAGCGCGGCAACACCGTCTGCTCTGCCGTCTCTCTATCTCTCCTAACACCCTCCTCAGGCTTAGGCTACATCTCCCTATTGACAACTCTCTTTCCCATACTCTTCCCATTGTTCCGTCCAGACCCCTGGAAATCCTTCGTCAGATCGTGCTGGGCGTGAGCATCGAAGAACTGGCAGAAGAGGAAGAATGAGCAACGAGAGGATGTATTCTGCGCACCCGTTCGTGGACCAGCACCCGCTGATGTCCACAAGCTCCCCCCTCCCCTCCCCTACTTCTCCTCTCTCCCTCTCCTCGGGCCAGCGCCTGCGTCGGCGGCGGCTGGCGGCGGCGGCGGGAACGACGATTTCCTTTTCTGGGCCGGCGCCGGCGCCGGCGCCTGCGGCGGCGGGCGGCGGCGGCGGGGAGCGTCGACGAGGGCGACGACGACGACGACGATGACGACGACGACGCTCCGCCACAGTGTCTTGATTTTGGGTCAGCGTCCCAATGGATGCTTCTTGGGGTCTCGTCGGAGGGCTCTCGGGGGCCTCTGAAGGCCATTTGTGCATCCTCCTGGGCGCCTCTTGGGCGTCTCTTGGGGCCTCTCTGAGGTGGTGGTGGTTGTGGCGGTGACGGTGGCGGTGGTGGGCTGTGGTGGTGGTGGTGGTTGTGGCGGTGACGGTGGCGGTGGTGGTGGTGTGGTTGGTGCTAATGGTGGTGATGGTGGTTGTTATGGTGGTTGTGGTGGCAGGTTGTGGTGGTGGTAGTGGTGGCGGTGGTGGTAGTGGTTGTGCTGCTCTGGTTTCTGGTGGTGGTGGTGGTGGTGGTGGTAGTTGTGGTGGTCGTGGGTTCAGGTGGTGGTGGTGGTGGTGGTAGGTGGCGGTGGTGGTGCGGTGGTTTATCATAGTGGTGATAGTGGTGATGGTAGTGATTGTGGTGGTGGTGGGTTCTGATGGTGGTGATGGTGGTGGCGGTAGTGGTGGTTGGTGGTGGTGGTGGTTTATTGTGGTGGTGTCGGTTGTTGTGGTGGTGGTGATGGTGGTGGTGGTGGTGGTGGCGTGGTGGTTTGTAGTGGTGGTGGTGGTGGTGGGTTGTTGTGATAGTGGTGGCGGTGGTTGTGGTGGTTTGTTGTGGTGGTAGTGGTTGTGGTGGTGGTGGTGGTGGTGGAATGGTGGTTTGTGGTGGCGGTGGTGGTAGTGGTGGTGGTTCAGTGGTGGTGTGGTGGTGGTCTGTGGTGGTGGTGGTGATGGGTGGTGGTGGTGGTGGTGGCGGTGGCGGTGGTGGTAGTGGTGGTTGTGGTGTTGTTGTTTGTGGTGGTGGTGGGTTGTGTTGCTGGTAGTGGTGGTGGTTGTGTGGCGGTGGTGGTGGTGTGGTAGATTGTGGTGGTGATGGTGGTGGTAGTGGTGGTGGTTTGTTGTAGTGGTGGTGGTGGTGGTCGTGAGTTGTGGTGGTGGTGGTGGTTGTAGTTGTGGTGGTGGTGGCTGTGGTGGTGTTGGTGGTGGTTGCGTGGTGGGTTGGTGGTGGTGGTGGTGGTGGTGGGTTGAGGTGGTGGTGGTGGTGGTGGTAGTGGTGGTGGCGGTGGTGGTAGTGGTAGTGGTGGCGTGGTGGTTTGTGGTGGTGGTGGTGGTGGGCTGTGGTGTTGGTGGTGGTGGTGCTGCTGCTGGTATCGGCGCTGGTGGTGTTGGGGGTGGTGTGTGTGGTGGTGGTGGTGGGTGTTATGGTGGTTTGTGGTGGTGGTGGGTTGGTGATGGTTGTGGTGGTGGCGGTGGTGGTGCTGGTGGTGGTAATGGTATGGTGGTTTGTGGTGGTGGTGGTGGTTGTGGTGGGTTGTGGTGGTTTGTGGTGGTGGCGTTTTTTTTGGTTGTGGTGGTGTTGTGGTTTGTGGTGATGGTGGTGGTGGTTGTGGTGGTGGATGGTGGTGGTTGTGGTGTCGGTGGTTGTGGTGGTGGTGGTGATTGTTGTTGCGGTTGTGGTGTGTGGTTTGTGGTGGTGGTGGTAGTGTGGCCGTCGGCTCTTCCCGCCATTTGTTTTAGTTTTGGGTCAGAGCTCTACTTGGTGATGTCTCTTGAGGTCTCGTCAGAAGGGTTTCGGGGGCGTTTGAGGAGCATCTCTCAGTGGCTTCTGGGGGGCGAGGGCTCGATATGGCGACTTGTGTGTTCCCTCTGCGGCCTCTGGGTTCTCTCTGGTGATCGTCGCTGCGTCCCCGCCGTCGGCGCTGCTGGCCGCCGCCAGCGCCAGCCCCGGCGCCGGCGCCGGGGAGGAACCCTCCCCCCCCCCTCCCCCTGGGCCCTTCTTGTCGTCGGCGCTGCTGTCGGCCGCCGGCGCCGGCGCCGAGGGGGGGGGGGCCTTCCCCACTTGGGGGTGGGGGGTGTTCGGGAGCGAGGGGGCAGGGGGGAGGGGAGTCCCCCTGGTTCTGATCGACGGCGCCGACCGAGTGTTGGGGGAGGCCCCCCCCGCGGTTCGAAACGTGCCGCCGAATGTTCCCAAGACAAGCGCCCGCGAAGCGCGTTCTCTGTAATTTCGGCACACCCCTCAAGCGATTCGTGGCCCCATATGGAGCTCCACCGAGGGCCCGCGTGCGGATCCCCGCCCATTTCGGCGCGCCCTTCATACATGTCGTGGCCCCATGAGATCGCAAACGAAGACGAGTCTCAAACTTGCGTTGCCCACAATTGCACGTGGCGGGGTCCGTCGTCTGGATATTTTTGGGCATCCGTCGCGACAGACCCCGTCGTTGCCTCGCGGGTCGGCCACAGACTGTGGGATCTGTTCATCAGATGGGGTTCACACAAGGCTTGACACCAGTCCAACCCAGAAAGATCGAAGATATCTTCTAGCGTGGCGGCAGGATCCAGGCGGCGCATCTGCGCACCAGATGGCGGCCGATGCGCTGGCGGCGCCCGTCCCGACTTCGCAACCCAGCTCCAACTGCGGCGACAATGACGTCCACGCGGAGTCCCCATCACAGCAGGCCGAGTCCCAGATGGGATTAGTTGCCCGAGTTTTTGTTTATGTGTCCGCGACAAACAGGACGCGCGGCTGACAAAGAACCAGGACGCGCATTACCAATCGCAGAGACTCGAGCCTTGGAAGCGGGCCTTCAAGAACAAGGTTGCTTCAGGCATTGGCGGGTAGCTGGGCGTTCCCAACGGCATCAGAGTCTTGGTGCCATGGTCGCGCTGCGCAGCCACGCCCGACACATTGCCGCGCGGGGGCGGCGGCCTGGCCGCCGTTGCCAGCGCGTCGAGACCAGAAGCCAGACGAGAGAAGGATGATTGCTCCACCATTGGCTGCCATCCGCAGCGCGGCGCGATGCACCTCGAAAAGGAGGGGGAGAACACGAAGAAGAATGAAAAGAAGACGCCGAAGGACCTCTACGCCCTGCAGCTCACAGAAGACCAGTCGAAATGCATATTGTCATGAGCAGCGAGGGAGCACAACGTAGACACCGATTTCTGCGCTGCCATCAACTACGATGCGCACGACGATAGCGACTCGGTGATTCCGCGATCGACCGCCGCCGCCGACGTGGGGTCGCCGAGGAAGATGCGAAGGTTTAGGAGCGATGACGTGAAAACAAAACCCAGGCCGCGCGCGCCTGGTCGCGCCAGTCGCCCAGCTGGCCATTGCCTCCTCGCCAAACGTTCTCGATCGATACCCCTTGACTTCGGCCCGCCTCAGGCATCTCCCCAGGAGGGCGAATAACTTCAACCGTGCCAGGCGCGACCAAAGGAGGGCGCGCCACCGCGGCCGCCGGGCCCCCGCGGCGGCGCGGGCAGGGCCTCGGCCCCCCGCTCGCACTGACAGCGCCTTCAGGGGCGCGGATGTCACGGCCGCTCGTCGGCCAGCAGCGCGCGCGCCCGCCGAGCGCCGGGGACATAGGCCGTCTTGGGCTGACGTTCCCCCCCTGCGCGTCGCGACGGCCCTGGCGAGCTTCGCGGGCAGCAGCGATCCGGAGGAACCGGCGGCCGCGCCAGCTGCGAGGGGGGCCCCGACCGGCATTGGGGGGGCGTCAGGTTTTCTTCGGAATGCTGGCGACGATCAGGACAGAAACGCCACGATCCAAAAATGGGCCGACATCCTCAAGTAGTTTTGGGTGCCCAGGGCGCCGTTCAAGGATGAGCAGCCTTTGGTTCCTTACGTGAAGTAGTTCACGCCCTACAAGACGACGGGCGCGCTCGGCTTCCGCGCGAGCTCGATCAAGTTGCACCTGGCTCGGCGCGATGGCGCATGGGGCCGCGGTGCCCGAGGCCCCCCGAGAGGTCCGACGAGCACTTGGGGCGCGTCGCCGCCAAGTGCGCGACGCGCTGGCAGAAGCCTTTGGAGGCGAGGTCGTTCGCCCAGTTCGCAGTCGCCGCTGGCGCGGGGGCGGGCCTCGCGCCCGGGGCAGGGAGCGCGGCGACGGGAGGTTCGAAGATGGAACGGCGTGGGAAACAGGGGGCGCCGTTCACCGGGACATTCGTCGCGGGCGCCGAAGGTCTGTCGGCGGCGGCGACCCGCCCCGTCGGAGAAAGCGCATTTGCCGATCGAGATTTCACGCGCTCGTCCGTTTCGGACCATCGGCGCGAGGTCGAGGTGCAGAGGCAGCGCGAGGACCAAGGAGCCAGAGCTGGACTTGGACACCACGGGCCCATCGAGCCCCCCCAGCGAGCACAGGACAGGCAATGTCGTGACCAAGATGGGGAAGAAGACCCATGTCGGAATTGCAGACAAGTTATCGTGTCCGGGATGGGCCGCAGCAGGGTCGAAGGCAGCAGAGTTCGCAGAGTGCAGCGCACGGGCCGACGCGCGCCCGATGCCCGACATCCTGGGCGCAGGCGAACTCGGAGCAGGCCGATTTAGGACATCCGACGTGGACCTTGCCCCGCGCGCCCTGTTGGCCCAAGGCGGTCAGATATCGCAACTGCGCCCGGCCGCGCGAGCCGCTCGGCGAAGGCCGCGCCCACCCTGCGCAGACAAGGCTGGGCAGTCGCGGAATGGCCACCGCGCGCTCGGGCGAGGGCCGCGGATCAAAGAGATTTGTCGCTGATCAAAAGTTCCCTAGGCGCCATCGCCAATGGAGGGCCCCCACAGGAATTCCCCCGCGCATGCTGAGGCCTTCCGATTCCACCCTACTTCGACGAGGTCGGGCAGGTGGATTCTGGCCAACGCCGGCGCCGGCGCCCGAGAATCCTTCGCGGTAGAGGCGCCAGCCACGATCGACGAACTTCGCAGGGCCGGGCTTGAACAGCCAGAGATGGGCATCGACGCGGACGAGGAGGCCGCGGACGCGACTGACGGCGCGACGGCCTCGGTGGCCCCCTTCGGAGGCCAAAGGGGAGCTCGCGGACACGGCGGCCGCGGGCGAGGACTTCGGCCTGGACACCGAGCACCCAGAGATGCCTCGCGGTCCGGGGCCATCCTGAGCTCCAACAGGTCGGGGCACGCTCCGCAGAGCGCCCCCCGGGGACATCGCTAAAATTGAATTTCGCAGATTCGGACTGGACCGACGCGCGGCCCGATGTCAATCGTCCGCTGCGTGGGCGAGCAGCGCGCTTCCGGGGGCGAACTAGACCGACAATTTCGCGACGACGCTCGCGGCCCTCATGTCGCGGCCCAGGGCCAGGGCGCCAAGGAGAAGTCACTTCGCCCGAGGAGTTGTGCGAGGCGCAGAAGCAGAACCGCGTGATAATGCGGCGCCTGGCTCGGTCGCGACGTCGCCCCCGGACCCAAAGGGAGATGCCGCGGCGGGCCCGACCGCTGTCGATAAGGAGGTCGCATGATGGGGCGCCCTCGAAGCTCGATTGTCACGGGCCGCCGCGCCGGCGGCCCCTGGAGAAGCGGAAATCAGGGGGCGGCAGCTGCGCGGCGAGTTCGTGAGAGCGCAGCTGCAGCCACCCGTCGTCTCCTGGCTCAGCCGGCGAAGCTGCGCGAGAAGCCTCGGTCACTCCAGGTGGACATCGCCGAGGAGCTGCGCTCGGGGCCGATGCTCATGGCGCCCGCGCTGCAGGCCCAGGTGGAGGACATCGAGGCTCCCATCATGGCGCGCATGTGGCGCAATGTCGCCGCGTGCGTCTTCGACGCGCCAGCGGCGATGGTTGCGGGCGCCACGCAGCGCAAGCACAGCGATGATGGAGCGGCGACCGCTCGGCCCCGCCGCAATTGTCGACGCGCCGTTCGAAGAGTCGCCCCTGCGCGCCGACGCAGCCATTCTCGCGCCCTGCCGCTGGCAGCTGCCCCCGCGGTTCACAGAAAGGCGGCCGTGCGCGCGCGGAGCCGCGCTGTTCTCTTCAGCGGAGTGAATCCTGCAGCCAGCCGAGCAGAGACGTTCGAGTTCGCGCCCGTTGCCGAGGTTCGCATCGGTCGGAAAGTCGCGGGCGGATAGCCTGGGGCGCGGTACCGTCGGCGCAGGCATGCACTCTTCGGCTCCTTCAGCATGGTGTGGGAGTTGCAAACTGGCCCTGCGGATGCTGGTGGTGGTGGTGTCCAGCATGCTGCTGCTCGGGCAGCCGACGGTTCTTTGGGCGCAGGTGTTTCCGTGGCTGACGTGGCGCCGGGTGCATCCAGCAGCTTGTGGGCGCCGACGAAGCTGCCACATGCTCCTGGGTGGGGCCTGTTTTTTCCACGGGTTGCATTGTGCCGCTCCATATTCGACCGCCGTGGCAGAGATCTTTCGGGCCTCGATTGCGTCGGTGTGGTATCGTATTTTGCCCCAATCAGAGCTTGCCTCTGTAGGGGTCCTAGCGGATTTCAGGGTAGGTCAGGTGTGCCGCCGATTCGGTGGCCGGGCCCGGGTGCCCGGGTGTCCGGGTGCCCGGGTGCCCGGGTTCGCCGCCGATTCGGTGGCCGGGCCCGGGTGCCCGGGTGCCCAGGTACCCAGGTTCGCCGCCGATTCGGTGGCCTGGCCGGGGTGCCGGGATGCCCGGGTGCCCGGGTGCCTGGGTGACGAATGCCCGGTGCCCGGGTAGGTGCCCGGGTGCCCGGTACCGGGTGCACGGGTGCCCGGGTGACCAGTGCCCTGTAGCCTTATAGGTTTATAACCCTATACCCCTGTCGCCCTACATATAGCCTTATAGCCCTATAGCTTTATAACCTATATAGCCATACAGCCCATATAGCGCCCGAGAGCCCATATAGTCCTGTAGCCCTATAGCCCTACAGCCCTAAAAAAAATAGGTTTGGGCTTTTTCTGGTATCATGATGATATCTTCGAGTAGTGTCAGCCTGTAATTACCAAATGGCCAGGCATTGCCCCCCGGGACTGATGAATGGGTCCCGCGGGGCGCTATACTTTCTTTGATAACGCGCGCCAGGGGGGAGGAGGAGAGAGGAGGGGGAGGGAGGAAAAGGAGGAGAAGGAGGAGATGGAGGAGAAGGCGGAGGACGAGGAAGAGGAGGAGGACAGGGAGGAGGAGGAAAAGGAGGAGGAGGAGCAGGACGGAGGACGGAGGACGGAGGAGGAGGAGGAGGAGGAGGAGGAGGAGGCCCGAGCGACGGAAAGAACGGCCGCTGGAAACGGGGTTGGCAGGGCGGGGGACGGCGGCGACAACGGCAAGAGAAGCGGGGAGGAGGACTACCCGCCTTGCTCGGGTCGGACGAAGAGCTGGGGAAAGAAACGGGGGGCGTGCGAAGCCTGCTGCGCGCAGCTGGTTTCGGTCGTCCCGCCGAAGAGCCAATCCTCGACTCATGGCCGTTTTCGGCGCCAAGAAGTGTTTGGAAGATCGGCGACGTGAGTTGCTTGGCAAATCCCCCATTTGCTGCGCCCCACTTTCGTCCAGCCCGCAGGGCGCCCTGGCTCGCCCTTGCCTCCCGACCCCCCCCCCTTGCCTCTCGTTGGCGGCCGGGCGTCGGCGCTAATCGCCGGCGCCGCGCCGTTGATTTTCAATTTGGCGGGCGCCACCCCGCGATTCGCCCGAGCAGGGGGACTATTTGTTTAAACACGCGCCGCCCACCGATTTGTTAATCACAAGCTGACATTCAGCTTGATCTACGAGCGAATTCCCTATTTCGTGCCTGGAGCGGTTCGTTTCGTCCTGCAATGTTTGTTGTCCTCGGTCGGGTAGGTTCTCTATTTGATGCGTGGCTACGGGTTTCCTGGCGTTGGTGATTCGCTTTAGAGGACTTGCGCGCGCTGGTCTGTTTCTGGCTGTTGGGCGTTGTCAATCTGGTTTGTATGTCATTGTTTCGTCGGCACCGGCTTCGCCCTTGGTGATGCGATGGCGCGGATTTTTCCTTTCCATCTTCAGCGCATTCGTGGCCATCCTGGTTGTCAGCGCGTTGTTCATGCAGTTGGTGGTGGAAGGCTGCACTCGCCGATTAAATGCTCCAGCCGCGGCGGGGTCGGCGCTAGCTGATAAGGAGCTTGTTCGTCGGATTGCGCCGAAAAAGTCGACCGTCACGGTTTCCGCAAAGTGTCGGTTCTAGTCGCAACGGCGCCCCGAAAGTTGACAGACGCCGCGGCGGGGTCCAGCGCTGGCCGAGAAGGACGTTGATTTTCGAGATGCGCCCGAAACTCGACTCCCACGGGTTCCGCCCGCCGCCCTTCGGGACCGTTGGGCGGCCACTCTCTGTACGAGGCCTGACCGCGGGAGGCGGCTAGGGCGTCCCGCCGCGCAAGTTTGAAACGGCTTCCTGCCTGTTAGTTAGTTGCGGGCCAGGCGTGGGCAGTGCGGTTGCAGTGGCGGTCGTGCGTGAAGTCGCGACGACGTCCCCAGAATTGGCAAACGTCGTGGCGGAGTCGGCGCAGGCCGATTAGGAATTCCTTCGTTGTCGATGTTGTACTCGGCCTCGCCTTGATCCCAGTTCTTGTCGCCGCCGCCATGGTCGCCTGTTTTGGTTTCACAACGTGCTGGAGCTGAGTAGTTTCTGCGCCAAGATTATTCTTCGTTCCGAACTCGGTTTGCTACGCCCGTCCAATTCGCTCTCGTGGAGGCGCCTGCGTCGCGCTGACTACGACACGCTTGGCGCTGGAAACAAATGGTGGCCCTTGAGAAGCATGTTGAGGCACTGCAATGACAGTGCTCCAGGGATCGTTTCGGCGGCGCGGCCTGATGCGGTCAAATTGTGCATCGACGGATTTGAACTGAGTGTGACCGCTCGGAAGGGCAAGTGGTTTGCCTTCAATTTCTTGTTCCTATCCTATGCTTGCTTGCTCCCTATATTCTCGAGAATTCCACCCCCGCTTCCGTTCCGTCTCGCCTCCTCCTCCCACCCTGTCCCGCCGCTTTTCCCCATCACGTCTCACCCCTTGTCTCGTCTTTATTTGTTCTGCCCTGTAACCCCTATCCATTATCCCTCCCGCACGTATATCCCACATCCCCCTCCCCATCCCCAGTCCGTCCCCCCCTCCCTCCGCCTCGCCTCGCACCTTTACCTCCCCCTCACCGCTCCTCTTCCTCGGCCCCCCCCTACCCCGCCAGGCGACAGAGATAGAGGAGGCGATCAGGAGAGGGAAAGATACCAGAAAGATCGCGACGGCGGCCCTCACGGCGAAAGAGACAGAGGAGGTGACCAGGAGAGAGAGGGACACCGGAGAGACCGCACCGTCGACCTGCACGGCGACAGAGACAGAGCAGGCGACCGGAAGAGGGACCTGTTACGGAAAGACCCCGACGTCGGCCTTTTGGGCGACAACAGGAACAGAGGAGGCGACCAGGAGAAGGAAAGATTGCGGAAAGACCGCGACGGCGGCACGCATAGCGAAAGAGACAGAAAAGGCGACCAGGACAGGGAAAGATGCCGGAGAGACCGCGACGTCGGCTCAGCCGGCGAAACAGACAGAGGAGGCGACCAGGAGAGGGAAAGATACCGGAGAGACCGCGACGTCGGCCCAGCTGGCGACGGAGACAGAGGAGGCGACCAGGAGAGAGAACGATTTCGGAGGGACCGCGAAATCGTAGAGCGCCGCGGCCGCCGGGAGGAGCGGCCTCCTCGCGCAGCGTCCTCCTTGAACTGCTGATCCCGGTGCTTGCGGCAGGGGTCTTCGTGCCAGCGCAAATTTCTGCGCGCTCTTTTTCCACAAATCCAAGTTGAGCGACGCAAGAAAACCGGGCCGACTGGGCCGACATTCGTGCATAAGTTTCTCGCGTAAGGCCGCGCGTTAGCCTCCTCGTTTCCAATGTAGCGTGCCGCGCTGGTGGCCCGCACAAGATCGCTATGCCATCGTGCGTAAGACCCTTTCCTTTTCGTTGCTGAGTTGGCCACATCATGTATCAGCTCGCTTCCCCAAATCATGCAAGGCCGTCAAGAGCATGGAGGAGGAGGAGGAGGAGGAGGAGGAGGAGGAGGAGGAGCATGGAGGAGAAGGAGAAGGAGGAGGAGGAGGAGAAGGAGGAGGAGGAGGAGAAGGAGGAGGAGGTGATGGGGGGGGAGGGGCAGTGATCCTGGAGCATCTTTGGGGTCCTTTGTGGCGTCTTGGGTTTTTTGGGGACTCTCCAGGGTCCTATTGGGGCTGCCTGGGGCCGTTTTGGGAACCAATTGGGGAACTTGCGCTGTCTTGTTGGATTCTTGGTTCGTTTGGGGCTCCTCCTAAAAGCCCTCTAGAAAATTATTGGGGTCTTCTTCGGCTTCTGGGCTTCTTGGGTCATCATGGGGCCGTCGTTGGGCTCTTTCATTTTGAGCCGAGAAGCGTGGAAGTCAAGCAACAGTGCAACAGCGTTTGTTGTTCTATGAATGTGGGTGCTGGGGACTTCTCTTGGGCCCTCTTTGAGGGAGGATGGGGAGTGAAGAGGTGGAGGTGGAGGAGGTCGAGCAGAAGCGAAAGTTAATGGGGATGATGAGGAGGGGACGAAGGTGGAGCAAGACTAAGAAAAGAGAGGATGCGGAGGAGGAGCAGGAGCAGGAGGAGGAGGAGCAGGAAGAGGAGAAAGGCCGCCCTCCCGATGCGCGCGGGCAGCTGCCAGGAGCGCGATCACCGTGATGAGCGCGAGGCAAGGCGCCGCGAGGGCCGTGACTGCCGAGAACAGCGAAGACGAGGCTCGAGGGCGGATGCCCACTAGTCTGACAATGGCTGTCGCCCGTTCCCCTCTTCACCCTCATTTCTCCTCCCTCCTCCTTCTTGCCTCCTTCTTGCTTCCTCCTGTTCCTCCTCCTGCTCCTGCTTCCCTCCGCTTCCGGGGACCCACACGAGTTCTTGTCCTCTACGCAGCGCAACAGCAGCAGCGGCAGCAGCGGCTGCGGCAATGGGTGCAGCTGCAGCAGCAGTCAGCAGCAAGGAGTGGATCAGAAGCTAAGGTCAC